TTTTTTTTTTTTTCCTTTTCTTTCTTGGTACTGGGATCGAACCCAGGGCCTCGTGCATGCTATGCGAGTGCTGTACCACCGAGCTACATCACAGAATATATAGTTGAATGAATGAAACATCACAACACAGATGCTTGGTGAAGTGGAGGTAAAATTAAGTCCATGCTAGATGCTGTCCCTCCAGTGTGATGGTTCCCAGCCTAGCTGCATACAAGAAGCACCAGCAACGTTTTAAAACTTACCATTGCTTGGCACTACTTCAAGAAATTCTGAGTTAATTATTTTGAGACTGGAGCCCATTAGTGTTTAAAATTTCCCCCAAGTGATTCTTACTTTCAGCCAAGATTGGGAACCACTGAGTCCTAATCTAAAACTTTTCAAATTTAATTTGCATATGAGTCACCTGGCTCCTTGTAAAGTGCATTTAATCATCCAATGGTTGGGGTAGAACCTGAGATTATCATCCTCAATAAACTGGCAGAGGATGTTGACATTTGGGTTGGGGAACACACTTGGGATAACAGATTTTAAGCAGCTACGCTTTTGCTGGCTGTCAGTGGCACACTTGTAAAAATTCTTCAAAAAATCACTCATATTCTCTCTCATGCACTCATTTTGGCTGTATCTGCATCTAATAATAAAGTGTGTGATTTGTGGCCAATCCATAGTTAAAATTAATGACTATCAGTGGTGCACCTGAATAATTAAGAGCCTGCGTAGGCTTTTTTACCCCCAGGGACTGAACAAACCTAATGATTTCCCAACATTTATCTGCAGTCTTATCTAGCCCCAAACCATCTCCTTATTTATTCAGTCATCCTCTGCTCACCAGCCTTATTGCTTAGTTTGAGATTCAGTGGTGTAAGACTCCAGGCTTCAAATTCATAAGGATTAGGAAATTCTTGTTTTAGCATTTAGTACTGTGGATTTTCTTGACAAAAGTGTTGGGAAAGACCTGACTGTGGAGCAAAACATCTGGTATGTCTCACAGTGTGACCTCAGGGTTTTCTAGAGTTGCTCAAAATAAATTCAAACCTTGAATTTTATCAATATCCAAATAGCAGTTAAGACAAAGTACTTTATCTTTAGATTAACTGCAAAATATACAATGGCTAATATTTGTAGTTATAAACACAAAATAGAGCCAGTTTTCATAACTTGTAAGATACACATTATTGAAGCCCATGTTACTTTTAGGGAACTCAATACTGGGGTTAAAGAGAAAACCCAGGAAATATCTACTGGAGAATGGATGTTTGTGAGAGTGGAGAAGAGCAGGTGTAGATACACAAGTTCTGCTCAGAAAGCAATGCCAACACTAACTTCCCTCATGGAATTCCAGAGCTTTAACTTCCTTTCAGCCCAAGAAGAAAGGTTGCCCTCTTTCTGCTTCTTTCTCCAAACTTCCCTGTACTTTATCTCTGTTGTACTTCTGTCACTGATCACTTTTTTCATCTTTGCGTCCTCCATAAATATTCATAGGATATAAGAAATGATCCAGGAAGCTGGCTCTCTAGTTGAATAGCTGATGTTGTCAGATAAGTAAATCATTTCCCATTCCTGAGCACAGGATATGGATTAGAAGAAACAAAGCTGGTGTCAGTGCAGGGTATCAGCTTGTCAGTCCTCCTGCTGCCCTTAACCATAGTATCTGTGATTCAGAAATAGAAGGATGGCACTTTCTGGTAGCATGTGCTGAGGGTTATATTAGTTACTTTTGTGTCACTATGACTATGTACCCAACAGAAACAACTTAAGGAGTCAAGATTTATTTTGGCTTACAGTTTCAGAGTTCCATGGTTGCTTGGCCCCATGTGCTTGGGCAGAACATCATGGCAGTGGAGCAAGGAGTAGAGAATTTCTTTACCTCATGGTGGACAAGAAACAGAGAGAGGGACAGAAAGGGGCCAAGAAGAAAATGTCCTCAAGTACTCACCCCCAATGATCAGTTTCCTTCTGCTAGATTCCACCTACAGTTTATAGAACCTCCCAAATGGCACCAGCAGCTGGGGACCAAGTGCCCACCTGACATATGAGTATTTTTGAGAGGAAACCTAACCCTGTTCATCTGAGATGCTACCTCTTGCCTATGTTAAATGTAGGCTGTAAAGTTAGGAGGAAAGGCTATCAGCATTTCTGATCTGAATCAACAGGTTGTTGACTCTTGCCCAAGCCATAGAGGCAAATTATATATAGTAGCCCCTGCATGTATAATTTCACTTTTTAAAAGCTTACCTATTGTCAATGTGATCTAACAATATTAAATGAAAAATTCCAAAATTAAACAATTCATAAGTTTTAAATTGTGCATAATTCTGAGTAGGTGATGAAATGTATTACTGTCCCTCTTAGGAAATAAATCATCCCTCGGTTCAGTGTATCAATATGATACCCGTCTAACTTACTCAGTAACTGTCACAGTTATCAGATGGGCTGCTGTAGCATCATAGTGCTTATGTTCCATTAGCCCTTATTTTACTTAATGGATGGCCTAAATGCAAGAGTAGTAAAGGTGGCAATTGGGCTAGGTTAAGAAGAGCCATAAAGTACTTACTTTAAATAAACAAATAAAAGTTTTTAATTAAGTTTAAAAAAATTATATGCTCAGGTTGCTAAAATCTATGGTAAGAGTGAATAAAACAACAACAACAACAAAGCATAGTGTATGTGTATAGGGCCAGTACTATCTGAAGTTTAAGATATCACTAGGGATCTTTGAACACATCCCCCACAGATAAGGGGGCACAGCTGTAGAAGGGTGATAGTGTCTCTGAAATTTTGCTGTAGTCTAGTGTTTCCATATTTGTTCACTCTGTCCTTACATAAAAAGAAATACTTAAAAGTTAAGTTTATTAATTAGGTAGGTCCAAACAACCTAGACATAAGTATATCCTACTATCTTAGTAGACATCTGAAAACGCAATACATATCAGTTGAGAGAAAACTTAATATTTTTCTTTCATATTAAAATAGCCACTGTGACTAAAGAAGGTCATTGCGCATTGAGCACTGTATAACTTCTCAAAACTTGGAGTCAGTTGGACATTGCCATCTCCTCATTGATTTGTTGAATAGACTGGAAGTAGCATCCAAAAATCCAGTTTCATAGGAACATAAAATAATTGTAAGGAATGTAGCATCTAATTTGAAACTGTGAACTACCTTCAGCCTGTGACTGCTGTGGTGTCCAGACATTGGTATCTTCAGAATTTTAAAATCTATTATGGATTCATTATGAGTTAATTGCATTATCCCAGGCTACTTCTGCCCAGAGTTTGGGAACTATGGCTGTAACTAAAAATTTGGCCACTGAACTCAGAGGGAGTTGAGCACCTTACCTGAACAGTGTTTGAAGACAGAGATGCATTATATCCAGAGAGAAACAGCAGCTCCTAAGAGCAATTTGGATAGACAGAAAGGATTTGATCACTGATTTCAATATTAGTCAGTACTTCAAGCCTGCAGAAGGTCCTAAAGCCATAATTCCTTTCCTTACATAAATTACTTTAAGAAGACTAAGCTGTTTTCCTCATTCAATAAGAGTTTATTTAAAACATACTCTGTGCCAGGCCAGATTAGTGGACAAAACAGATAGAAATCCTTACCCTTGTGGAACTTTCATTTTAGCCTCCTACTTTCAATGCATGGAATAATGCAGAATCTCACAGCTTTTGGATTCTTTTGTGAGATAACATGAGAAAATAATAAAAGGCCCTTTATCCCCTCTAAAGTTCTATGTAATGGCTTATTGTCAAAGATTAGGTTCTGCAGAAAACAGGCATACTTAAGACATTTAGAGCCAAATCGGTGACTGCAACTAGAGGGAATTATTCTATATTAATGAAAATCAATGATCTGTGAATCCTATCTTAATGAAGACTGATGATATATGAACGTGGGGTGGGTGAGGGGGCACTAATCGGCTGATTGTATTAAGAACATAGACACAATTGAAGTGATGGTTCTGTTAAGTCATCCTCATCTTTATTTATGCTCAGAAAACGCAAAAAGGCACATAGTTTGAAACACTGGATATACTATAGTGCTCCCTAATTTCTTTTATGGTTTAAAAGAAACAGCATGTGGATTTTTCTATCTCAGGACCATGTATAGCTGAATTTACTTCCACACCTACCATATGAGAAGAGAGATACTTAATTTTATCTAAATAATTATTGCCATTTTTGGATCTGCAAAAATAAGGGGAAACTACTTTTTTCTGGATCTTTTGGAGAAATAGTGGATACTGGTAATTTAACATTTTATTCCAGCTGAGCCAGCTTTCTTGTATCCCATTTCCTGGAAAATCAACAGTAAATTAATAACTAAATCACTGAAAATAAAATCTGAGATTTAATTTAAGACATAGCTGTGGCACTTCAAGTCCCCCTAAGTTGAGTTTCCCAGGCATTGAACTAAAGCAAGTTAGCATGAAATGTGGCCTGTATATAAATCATCAATTAAAAAGACTTTGCTTTTGCATCAAGGACAATATATTCATAAATATTAAAAAATCATTATGCACAACAGAAATAACCATTACTAAGGTTTTGATTTGTAACTTTCTAGTCTTTATATGTAGTTTTATGTGTGCATGTATGTGTGTGTGTACACACATAATTTAATAAGTTATTTGGTTTATGCCTTACACATAAACCACATCTTTTAGTTTATATTCTATCCCAAACACTTCCCCAGGTCACTAAATATTTTTCTAAAATATGTTTGTATTTTTGAACCCTGTAGGATACATTTATTAAAAGTATTGAAGATTTAAAAATTAGTTATCATAAGACATAAAACATAAAACTTACTAAATTGATGTGAACTAAAGTTTCTGGTACTTTAATTTATTCATCCTTGTATAGTGAGTGTCTACTGTGCACACTTTAGGTGCTAGTCTCTATCTGTCAGATGCAAATGGAATCTGAGCCTGAGACCTGACTGCACACTGGCATCAAATTGAAGCATTTACCTGCAGAAGAGGCTAGACCATTCAGCAACTGGGCTACAGGTGCAAGTTGACAAACAACTGCCTCCTCAGCCGGGCACTGAGAATTACTACTGTTGTTAATTTGATTTAAGATAAGAAAAAAGAGAAAACAAGTAGGGACATCATAGGGACTGGAAATCAGCATTTTAGAAAAAAAATTGAGCATTTCCAAATAACCCCACTGAGAACAGATGTTGAAGCCAAGGAGAAGTGTTTTGATGCTACAGTTACCTGTTTGGTTATTTGGCCTATTGCTTCCTAGGCATCATTGGAAACTAGTTGACATGAAATATGGTGTTAGCTTTAGAAAATCTGGTTTTTGCCATTTTCTCTCCTGCTTATTAATCAGGGCCCTTGTGCTAAATAATTCATCCCATGAGCTTCCAGCTGCCCCACAGGTCAAGCAGGATTTTGAGGCAATTAAAATAACAAAATACATGGAACAGACATAGAAGAGTAAATGGCATAATAGCACACAACTGGAAAGAATTTGGATTGTGGGTAAGAATGCCTCAGGTGAGAAACTACACACTGTAGATTAGGTTCCTGGCTCTATTTCTCCATGTTAAGAGCTTCCAATCCCTTGTAAGAGTGGCCTAAAAAGTGAGGGAGGAAAAGAAGGAGAAAGGGAGACAGGGAGAAAATAAAGAGTGAGTGAGAGAGAAGGAATGAGAATGAGGGAGATGGGTGGGGGCAAATGCAGGGAAAGAGGAAAGAAGAGAGACTGAGAGAGAAAGATAAAGGAAGATTGAAAGAGAAATTAAGACTGGTGAGAGAGCTGGCAGATATATAGAGAGAAGCATGTTGAGATAGATAGATAGAATGTGGTGTTGTCAGTGTGTGATTACAGAGCACCCTGTGGCTATGGAGGGAAGACAGATAGGTAAGAATTCCATTTGCTACCCTCTTCAGCTAAAGACACCCTCTTGGTGATCTGATGAATAGAGCATTAAGATCTAGTGGTGGATTCTGTCTGCTTGATTGAAAACCTGCTCTAGTCTCCTGAACAATCATTGCCAGCCTTTTCCCAAATTCCTACTTTCCCAATTAGGGCTAAGTCAAGGTCTGTTCCCAGAAGCTGAGTGATCACTTCATTTCAGTTTGCCCAGGACATTTTTCTATTTCCTATACTGGAAGCTCTGTATCCTGGGAGCTCTCAGTGTTGGGCAATCTGTGATGGTTGGTACCATACTAGAAGTCAAAGTGAGGTCTTAGATGCCAGGATAAACAGATCCAATTAAATGACTTTCTGTTTGTAAATGATGTTTTCAGAAGGGTGAGCAGAATTTATAATATCTGAAAACAGGCAAGTCCTGAAATTTGAGAGAATAATGTCTTATTGAATTCAAAAGGAGGGATACTGGGGTATATATTTTTACTTTGGCACATTACCCTTTTACAATTTAGCTTTCTCCTCACCAACATCTTGTCCCTTATTTGTTTTTATTTGGATTGATTAGTACATCACCAGGCTTCTTCATCTCTCATGACAAAACTGAGAAAAATAAAACCTTTGTTACTGTCTTATTTCACTCACTTATTATGTGCTGAGCATTGTTTTATTCATTTATTAAGTGAAAGGCATGAAATATATACTATGTGCCTGCTACCCTCATGGAGAATCTGGTTGCAGACAATGTGACATTGAAGAGCAAGGCAGTGTTCTTGTATCCATACATAGAGAATGCTCTGGAAAATTTTTTGTCCTTAAGTTATTCATGTTTATTTTGTCAGGAAAAACAAACATAGAATGCAGATATATATAATTTTAGGCTATTATTCAAGACATCTTATACATCAGTCTACAAGTAGTTGGTGAGAATCTGTTCCCTGACAAACTTTGTGCAAGGCATGAAAAAGGATATTGGAATTTATTGCAAGATCACGTGATTCTTAGAAGTCAAGTTTTGAAGCCAGATTTGTTTCAACTATCTCAAGCCTTAGAGCAACTTGAGTCTATCTTAGTTGCTCTGGATTGACTATAGACCCCAGGATCTTTATTTCCATGTCTTTTGTTAATTAGTATTTTTTTTTTTTTTGCCTTACTGGCGTTTGAATTCAGGCCTTGTGCCTAATAGGCAGGTGCAAGTGGCAGAGTCCACTGAGCCATGCCCAAGCCCTTTTTGGTTTAGTTACTTTGTGAATTAGGTCTCATGTTTATTCTCAGGCTGATCTGTACCATGATCCTCTTATTTACACTTCCCACAGAGCTGGGATGACAGGTGAGCACCACCATGCCCAGCTTTTATTGGTTGAGATGGAATCTCACTAACTTTTCTTCTCCTGGGTTGACTTCAAACTGTGATGCTCTTTGAATAGTTAGGACTACAGGTGTGAGCTGCCACGCCTGGCTAATTAGCATAGATTAATTTTATAAAGTAATTGGCTTCATTATAACATTTTCATCTATATATACATAGATCATATGATCTTTTGTTTTAAACATTTGGGTGAAAATGTTTTGAAAATTAAAAATTTTAGGATTTTGGATATGTACTATGGTACATATACCATATAGTATGTTTACCTGGATCTGGGGCGGCATCCAATGATCAAAGTCATTAATAATTCTGTTGGTCTATGTATGTGTATTTGTGCTAAATGGTATAGCTGAAGATGATAATTGGTTCCAGTCAGGTTTTGGTTACAAATGAATCATGAAGAACTTGAGTTTCAGAGGTTTTAAATTTCTTTGAATTACAATAAGGGATTATGAGTATGTCCAAGAGATGCCAGCAACTGCAAAAGTCTCTATAGAAGCCTAGATGCTTCTAAGCTTTTCCTCACACAGACTACACATGTTCACACAACTAAGATCACAAAGTGTTTATGTTTGAGAAGCGTCAGATGAAGTATGCACTTAGTAGACACTCTGTAAGTTCAGAGGAGGGAGAATGAGTTCTTTCTCAAGTTGTCAGGGTCTTACCAGCAGATGGGTTGAAGAGCATCTTACAGGACAGGTGTGTAGCTCTGAGAAGCGTGGTGGTATTGTGCCCAGGCTGTGCTGGTAATGCTCTCTACCTAAGGTAGGTAGGTGTGACAGCTCAGTGTGTATTTGAGTTTTTTATAGACAAATGAATCAGAGTTACTATTTAACTTTACATATTAATCTATAATATTAGCTACTATTTTGGAGAGCTATATTTTAGTAACATGGAAAAATTGGAGTTTAAATAGAAATGAGTAATTGTTCTTTCTGTCTCCTAAAGATGTGACATTCTTTCTAGTGCTTACAGAAAACGCTCTCTGCTGCTATTGGCTGTAATATGAGACTGTCTTTCATGTGGAGATCTCAGAGTATTTTATTTTACAGTAATTTTCAAAGAAAATCTGGCAATATTGAGATCCATGGTCCTTAGCACTGACTGGGTGCTGGGAATATGAATCAGGGTGTGGGATGAGGATGCGGGAGGTTTTGAGAACATCCTGGGGCTTGGTTCTCAGCCCCAAGATACTCTGATATCGTTGGTTGGAGATGCAACCTAAACAAAGAAATATTTAAAGTTGAGTTAGTGTTAAAAACCATTGTTTTTTTAAAATTAACTCTTCTGATTTTTAAATTTTACAAAGGATAAGTGAAGCCAATATTTAATTAAGCATTTTCTTGAAATTAGAATGAATAAAGTACAAAATTAAAATAAAAATTACATATCAACTAAATTGTTTTATTGGAAGGATGCTTTTAAACAAAAAAGGTAACCTTCACCCTACTTTATGTTTATTTGATTAGGATAATATACTTTTGCCAAAACTTTATGAGTGCTATGGTCCATGTATATACACGAATTTTATCATTAAAATTTGGAAACTGCCCTCCTCCCATATAATTTCCATATTTGGCATTGAGTCAAAGCTATAAAAGGGAGAGCGCATCTACAATCTGTTCCATCTCTACTTATAAACCTATGGCTGCAAAGAATACTAGCTTCAAAAGTGATGATGATCCTGAATTTTAATCTTGTGGAAACTAGAGACATTAGGTATTAGTTGAGATTGCACAGCCCAGGAATGGGGAAGCCCAGCTCAACTTAGATTTCTGATTTTGATTCAAGGCTATTTCTCTGCTGTGGGCTTGGTTTGCTTTTATAAACATTAGGGAATATAAACTGGGTTGAGATTGGGGAAGACAGTTGGAATATGAAACAAGAAATAAGAAATTTTCAGGCTTTACATTCTAAGACAGTAGAATTATTCAGCAGTAGAAACCTCAATACAAACACAGCATCAAACTACTTTCCTGTATGCAAATAAGATTATCTTTTGAATGAATACTTTCTTGTTCATCATTCATACAAGGATATGGTATATCAAATATCAACTAAAAATGACTGAAATGATTTTTAGGGTCCATTTTAGAGAAAAATAAATTATGCTTCAAAAGTCAACCTTCATTCAGGTTGGAAAAACATGATCTGTTTTCCATTACCATCAAAAACAATAGGTGGCTATATATCCTCAGAAATTGTTAAGGATGCAAGAAACTTTGGAAGCAAGACTTAATTTTCTTGAGAAAAAATGTATAAAGATTGTTTACATACAGGTCAACTGCATATTTGTAACTTTCACTGGGATTTCTGAGTTGTAGAAGAATGGTACTAGATGACTTCTGGAATGTTTAGCACACATTTGAGTTTTACTTCTCTATAACTAGAGATGACCATACCTAGCAATAGGGCTTTTAATAGACATTGTTTATCTGAGTCCCTATAGATATAATAGCATTAGCCTTAACTGAAGCTTGCTGAGATTTCCTGATCTGATGAAATCTCTGAATAGAAGGGAATAAGATTCCTTGAAAATTGTCATGATACAGGCACTGCTTGAATTACAGTATCATTTGGCAAATATGTATGTTCATGTTAGTCATTTAATCCAAAATTAAGAGTCCATATAAAAGTTACCTGGAAGTTTCGGGAGTGAGTTAATTGGTTCTTAACTTATCATTGATGTTCCAGATCTCTGCTTTTCCTGGGAACAGTGACCCTAATTTTCAGGTTTTGCCAACTCTATGTCCCATCATGGAGAGTAGGAGTACACAGAAGATACTGCTAAATTGCAGCATCTTGTGTATATTGTGTATATTTGGATCAGAATATTTTTCTAAGATTAAATGAAATCCTGTATAAAATACAAAGATGATAGGTCTAGGAGGAAAATCTCTTTGCTTATTAAGTTCAAAAGAGTCCTTGGGCTGTTGGAACTAACATTGGCCTGGAAATGAAGTATGTGGTTTTGATTCTTGCATTTATTAGAGCTAGTTTTCTGACCATTAGCAAGTCACTGAAGTCAATCATGTGAGAAATAAGACAATAATCTAGGCATAGTCGTTGTAAGGGTAGAAGCAATTTGTATGTTGCAATGCATACAAAAGTTATTTTATTTTCCATTAGTAAACTCATTCAAGTCAAATTCTTCTTTTCTAGACTAGAAATAACTGAAAGTTCACATTTTATTTCACATTAAATAGATGGGAGTGCAATCTCAGAATAGTGATAGATGACTTTTCTGTTTAGATAAGCAATATCTGCTCTGTATGCTTTTCTTTTGGTCTTTTTTGGGGGAAAATGTACTTTCAGCATCAGTTTTAGCAGGTATAGGTTGAAAATAACCTGTTCCAATAAACAGAAAGTAACTGACAAAACGTAGTATGATTTCCTTAGTATGGCATGTTACTGAAAGATCTATTTCTATCAGTTAGGAAAATCCTTTATGTTTTGGTTATTTCCTAAATGGAAATATGGCAAGTATGTATTTTCATACATTCATTGGTAGTGGACTTGGCTATTTCCATAACTTAGCTATTGTGCTTTGATTACTAAGGAAATGGTTCACCCAAAATGGTTCACACATGTCCTAGTCATTCATTAAGTCATTTCAAGTCATGATTATTCAATGTTTGCTTTCAGTTTGGCTTCATTTTCACTGAATGAAGATAAAAGAGTGATCTCATTTATCTTCAGGGGTTTATTTTTTACCTCCTTATTTTTCCACTAAGAGATAGTCTCTTGAGCTATCACATTTTGGCGTAAAAATATGTAAACTCTAAAAGTTTGTAAACTCTGATCTCAGCACATTATAGAGATTCATTTGTGTCCCAATTCAAAATGGAGTTTGATAGAAATAATTCTCCTGCTTCTATAAACTTTTGGATTTTTGAACTCTAGCATGAACATGAAACTCTTCACTCTTCAGGTACTGAGGGCAATTGTGCTCAGAAATGGATTCATATAATCTGTGATTCTCTGCTTGTTTCCTTTCACAGCAACACCCTGAGTCACTGAAGCCCTCCCGGGTAGACACTGCTCCTGTGGTTGCATCTCCCTATCAAAGAAGAGACTCAGACAGATACTGTGGACTCTGCGCAGCCTGGTTTAATAATCCTCTGATGGCCCAGCAACATTATGATGGCAAGAAACACAAAAAGAATGCAGCAAGAGTTGCTTTGCTCGAACAACTTGGGACTACCCTGGATATGGGGGAACTGAGAGGTAAGAAAAACTAACTGTTGCCAGAGAGCTGGATTTTCTGAGAAAGGATTAGTTTTTACAAAGGGGATTTTAATATTTTTATTATTTGTGCTGGGGTACATTGTGGCATTTACAAAAGTTCTTAGAATATATCAAATATATTATACTTGAGTTCAACCCCCTCCATCATTCTCCTTTAGCTCCCTACCCATATTCCTAGAAGTTCAGCAGGTCTGATTTTTCCAATTACATGCATGAGACACAGTATTTGTTCATATTCACTCTCCTACACCCTTACCTCCTCACATCTCACCCTTCTACTCCAGGCAGACCATGTGCTGCATCCTGTTCTCTGATTTCTGTTTTAAAAAAAATGCCATTTTTGTTTGTTATTAAAGATAGGCTACACATGGAGTTTTCCTTGACTGTTCGCATATACTATACATAATATGTCGTATTGTATATTGATAATATGTATGTGGTGATTATATATATATATCCTGAATTAGCTCATCTCTATTTT